CACTCATTAACGAACGAGTACATTAAACCAGGTCCCTGGACTCAGAGTCTTCCCTGACCCCGTCTTCTCCACTCAATAATACAAAGCCTTCAACAGGCAGTTGGGAAGGACAGAATGAGGATGTTTGCGGTCAATGCCAGGCAGCCCTGGCAGAAGGGAAAATTCTGTTGCTACAGCCAGTAACTTCTGTGTTCTGTGCTTCCCCCTGAGCTCCCCAAGCCACATCCTCATCGTCCCTCCCACCGCAGGCCTCCGGGCCACAACAGCATGGTCAGGTCGCTCTCACAGACCTATGGCTGAGTACAAAGGGCAGAAATGAAACTTCGGGGACTCCAGTGCGGGGAGCACGTGCTCAGCTGCGCCCCTCATAGCGAGAGAACCACCTGCAGATGTAGCCAGGCTGCCAGACGATTCCGTCTGCCTGCCTCCCTCAGTGGGACAATGCCAGCACAGCCCTCCCTCAACACTGGTTGGCGTATGGCTTATCTCCTACTCCCACCCACCTCGCCATCTTGGCTATCTGAGAGACATTTTGGACAGGTAGTCTGATGGGAAGGTGACCTCCTCAGCATTGATAAGTGTGTGTTCAATAATGCAACTTCTCTTCCTATTATTAATAAGAGCCAACCATTTACATAGCACAGAAACCTCACCACAACCACATGAAATGGGTATTGTTATTATTCTTCTTATTCTACAGATGAGGAAACTGAGGTCTGCCTTGTCAGTAATAAAGCCAGGACCTGAATCCAGGCAGCCAGGTGTGACTCTGTGCCGTTAACCACTGCTCCATACTACCTTTAAGCAAAAGATAATTAAATCTGCACCAAGTCTCCAGATCCACACAGCCAGTTAGAATTTAGACACTGCATCTAACAAGTATGGGCCATGCAGTTAAATTTGGGATTGAAATTTCTTTCTGGTAGTAGCAACCCTTGTGTGTTTAAACCAGAACTAACAGAGTCAATTCAAGCCAGCAGAAATCCCTTCTATCAGTGAGATGGCAGCAAGAGAAACAGGTCCGCTCTTCTCCTTTAACGTGTCTCTTTGCATGCCACAGCAGCGGATGAATCGGGGTGTTGCTGCCTAACCAGTGTTTACAGAGCACCTATAGATTGGTGTTATAACTTGGCCCCAGATTAATTTCCCTGCTCAAAAATTTTCTATTAAAGAGTTTGACCACACAGTGGGCTCAGACAGCCCGGGATTTGCCTAGAGCCCCCAGTGTACAGAAGGATAGGAAATAATTAAAAATCAGAATGCACTCTAATTCAAAGTCAACAGGCATCCCCATCTATGCCCTTGTGAAAATTGTGCGAGTTGGCAAATTAATGAGACGGGTGCCTGGGGTGAAGTCGGCCCTTAACCTGTGTAATTACCAAGCAATGAGCGACACTTCGGTGGGTCCTGTGGATAAGCAAAAGAAACTGATTTCCGGACGTAAGAGGAGTCATTAAGAATGCAGGAGCACTAATGCACTGGGACTGCTTCCAGGGGACAAGGGATGCCTGGGCCACAGCAGGAACAGCCCCAACAGTCTTTAGGGTCTGTCGAGTCTCCCACCTCGTGGCGAGTAAGCAGAGAGAGACGCAGAGTCGATTTACCGTCCAGGGAGAAAAAGAGGAGGACGAACATTTACTGAACCCTCGCTACGGGCTGGACTCTGTGCCAGGCATTTTGTATATATCGTCTCGCCTAAAAATTGCAGAGTGGTCCCTGGGGTTTTGCACGTGACCAGGGTGATGGGTGGGTACGCGGTCCAGCCTTGACATATAGAATGACACAGGCATGACGACTGTTATTACTACAGTTACTCTGCACACGCAAATGACACAGACAAGATAATCTAAAAGCAAAACGAAAAATCACTATTAATATTTTGGTCTGTAAACTTATATTCTTTTTTCTATATAAGTATTTCGTTTTCATTTACCAAAATGGGATTATACTACTTGTGTGCTTTTTAACTCACTTTCACATGCTTATTAAATATTCTTCTACAATATCATTCTAGTAGTCACAGAGCAGGCGATTGCAGGTGCTTTCGTAAATGCTTTTTATCCATCCCCAGTGGTTGGACATTTAGGTTGCTTTCAAGTTTCCACAATTTTCAACAATGTTCTAATGAACATTCTTGCAGACAAATCACTGCAAAATTATCCTTTTTTTTTTTTTAAGGTAAATTCCTAGCCTGGAAATTGCTGGGTAAAAGGATGTCGTCATTTTTAAAGTCAAGTTTATTGAGGAATAATTTCCATACAGCAGAATTCAGTCTTTATATGTGGACAGGTCTTTGAATTTTGACAAATGCATCAGTCATGTAACCACCACGATTAAGCTATAGAACACTTATAAGTATTTTAAAGCTTTTGATGCATGTTAGCAAATTGTCTGCCAGTAAAATTATACCTACTCCCATCTACCATCAGCCTATGGAATGTGAACATTCCTTAAAAAGATTTTTTTTAGAAAGGATTTTCCAATTTGGTAGGTGAATGTTTCCATCTCATTTTAAGTGACGTTTATTTGATTACTAATTAGGTTGCATATTTTTTCATGTGTTTCATATCTGTTTTTGTGTCTTATAGTAGGAATTTTCATCCATATCCTTGGCCTGTATTTCTAGCCCACTACTTCTCTCTTCCTCATTGATTTATAAGAGCTAGAGGGCCGGGGGTTGAAGAAGTGACCTGTCATGCTGTAAATATGTTTTCTCTTGTTATTTGCCTCCTTTAATACTGTTTATGGCTTTTTTTCCCTCAAAAGTTTGAAGTTTCTGAGATCTCTCCATCTTTTCCTTACAGATTCTACCTTGGAAGTCATCTTCATAAAGTCCCTTCCTACTCCATGATATTTAAATATTTGCCCTTTTTATATTTAAATCCTTCATGCATCTGGAATTTATTTTGGTATTCACAAGGAGTAAACTTTATTGTTTGCCCCAAAATGATGAGCCAGTTGTACCAGCCCCATTTATCAAATAATAGATCTTTCTCCCCACTAATTTGAGAAGTTACCTTTACTACATATTATATTTATTATGTGCTTGGATATGTCTCTGAACTTTCCATTCTGTTCCATAAAACTCCTTATCTTTTTCTGGAAAAGAGTACATACTGTTTCACACAGTTGGGGTTTTTTTTTTTTTTTTTTTTTTTTCTGAAGATTAGTCCTGAGCTAACATCTGCTGCCAATCCTTCTCTTTTTGCTGAGGAAGGCTGGTCCTGAGCTACCATTCGTGCCCCTCTTCCTCTACTTTATATGTGGGACGCCTACCACAGCATGGCTTGCCAAGTGGTGCCATGTCCACACCCAGGATCCGAACCAGTGAACCCCAGGCCGCCAAGAAGCAGAATGTGTGCACTTAACTGCTGCGCCACCGGGCCAGCCCCTCACACAGTTTTAAATGTTGTAGTTTTATAATATGTTTTAATATCTAGTCTGGCAAGTACTGTTTTTCATTACTAGACTTTTTCAAACTGTTCTCTCATGCCTTAATTACTCCAGATGAACTTAAAACCATATCTGAGTTTAAATATCCAGTAGGAAGTTTTATTGAAATTGCATTATATTTATAGATTAATCTGAGGAGAATTTCTATCTTTATCATAAGCAGTCTCATCACTGAGGATGTGCTCTGTTCCTCTGCACCTTCAAGTTTTCTTTACGTGCCTCAGTGAATGTTTAGTTTTTGAAAATGGCATTTGCATAGTTGTGTATATATTTATCCCAGGAATAATGGTTTTTTGGTTGCCATTATTCACAGCATCTGTCTTTCATTACACTTTCTAACTGGTGGCTCCTGTTTATAACATTCTATTTATTAATTTTAGAAAAAGCTAGTTTAATAAAAACTAGTTACAATAGTATTTCAGTTTTGTTCCCCTTCAGTGTTCCAAGAAGACAATTAAGTTATTTGTAAATACTAACAATTTTACCTTCCCTTTTCTGATTTTATACTTCATTTTTATCAGTACTCATTATTCAGAATGATTTTGACTGGTAATTTCAGACAACTCTTCACATCATTACATATTAAGTTACGTTACTTTTATAAAAGCCAACAGTGGATTTTAGTCCTTATTCTTAGTTTGTCATAGTGCCTTATGATGAACTACTCTTGCAATTTTGGAATAAACCCTATTTGGCTATGATGGATTATTCTTTTAACATTTTAGTCAATGTTTTATTTGAAATATTTATATCTGCAATCATTAACTTCAGTTTTCTTTAACACGCTGTCTTTGTGAAGTTATGATATTGAGGTTGGGTTATTCTCGTGTTGTGAATTGGGAACCCAGTCTCTTTTTCCATGCTTTGGAACCATGCCTGTTGCTTAATAAGTGGATTAACTCACCTGTGTCACCTGCTCCAAAGATTGTGGAGGAGGGACCAGCCATGGCATTTGTTAAAGGCCTCTCTCTCGCTCAGTATTCAGAATTTGGATTAAAATCCCAAAGTTCATTCAACAATTTTGAAAGTCAGACAATGAAAAGCTAGCTCATCTCTTTTCTTAGACTAGGACAAATTGTAAAATAAAGATGAAAACTAAATCTCAAACGCCACATTCCCATCATTTCTTTGGATTCCATTAGCCCTTGGCAAAGATGATTTACACTGACATAAAGTTTATTGATCCCCGTGTGGTGTTCAAAACCTGACTCATTCCTCTTCAGACACTCCAGAAATTTCCACCCTCAATTTCCTACGACTGAGATTGAAGTAAAAAGGTAGAGTAAGAGATAAGATGCGACTTAATGTATCAATTAGTTTTCCTTGCGCACACCCTGGATATGTGCAATTACACTAAAGTGCTTAAGAGGCTAGGAAAATAGCTTAGGTTCTCATCCAGTTTTTCCTCTGCAGCAAGATACCCACCTAGCTCATGATGTTTTCCTTTCACAGGTGGAGTAATGCCGTGTAAATTCCAGTACAGCCCAGTGGTCCTTAGCCTACCTCGTTACAGCAACCACAGTAATAGCATTTTCTTCTTTATCCAGGATGTCTGTGTGAAGGCTTATCTAGCCCTTCGGCATCACACAAACCTACTGATCATCCTCTTCTCCATGATGCTGATGACGGGGATGCCCCAGCTAACAAGCAAAGAAGACATTGAATATATTCGGGATGCCCTAACAGTGGGGAAAAATGAGGAGGATGCGAAGAAGTATTTTCTCGATCAGATTGAAGTTTGCAGAGACAAAGGATGGACTGTGCAGTTTAACTGGTTCCTACATCTTGTTCTTGGCATCAAACAAGGAGAGAAACATTCAGCCTAACCCTTTGACTAGAATTAAAAAGAAGTCGGTGTTCTAAAGCTTTAAGTCAGCGTGGCAATCATTGACCTCGGATTTAAAACGTAAAAGGACATTATGAGAGCTGGCACTTCCGCAATATAGCTCTTTTCCTAGCTGAACCCTTCACTGGAGAAAACTGTTGGCATGGCTGTTTCAGTGATGTTCAGTTCAAGCATATTTGCAGATGTGCTTTTTCTCGTTTGTCTCAGCGATGTTGGAGAATATTCCAAGTTTATTCCTTATCGTGCCTGATGTTTTGACTATCTTCTTATTGACTACTTCTGGAAATTCTATAGAATAATTGGTGAAGAATTATTGGTATAATAATCAATTTTCATTTGGGTTTGCTCTCAGTTTTGGTTATCCTTGTGTTCCTCAAGCTCTTTACAGAAAAAGATGTAATCGTTGTACCCGATGTCTCGTTCCTGAAATGATGCTCCCAAACGCCCCCTCAGAGACTGCCAGTGTTAGCGACATGCTAAGAGCCAGAGAGCAGGTCAGTCTTTCCAGTGTCTTCTGTAATTAGGTTTTTTGCAGTATACAACTGAGACACACAAACACAACATGGAAAGTCTGAACCTGAGGGCCCTGGCCCTTCTCAGCTGGTCTGCTTCCAAGGTTGTAAATAGGAAACACAGAACCAAGACCATTTGTCTCTGCTCTGCCCACAGAGGGAATTATCAAGTACAATTATGATAACCTTCTCCAGCCTAGAAACTTCTGTAACTAAAGGGACCCATATTTTCTTCTCTCCCTTTCTCCTTGCCTCCCTTTGCCCTCCATTGCCACCCTCTCAGACTCCTTATCCAGAGTTGTGAAATCTTCAAGAACACCTTTACCCTGGAACTCAAAAATTACCTGAAAAGGAATTTCCCCTTTAGGGTTACTAGAACTTTAGGTACTTACTTGTAAAAATGTTTGGTGCAGTTTTTAAAAAGTATATTATTAAAGGAGATGTTCTAGAAAATATGGATTCGTTTCCAAATGCCTTAATTTTAAATTTTGGTCTGAGCAGCTTTTTCTTTCTTCTTTAATGGAAGAAGACACTTGATATCTAAAAAGTACTCCAAGTTAGGAAGAACACTACTTGCCTTATCCAGCTCTGAATTTAAAGGACTTTTAAACTTCAATGCATTCTTCAGATTTCCTAAAAATAACTGAAATGTCTGCTTCAAAAACTATTTTCATCTCTTAAATATTTTGCTATTTATTGGAAGTGTTGTTTAACCTTAGAGAAAGATGGTTAAATTATTTATAAAATATTTTTAAATTACCTATAGTTAATACTTTACATAGAAATAACTCTGTTAACAGCGTCTATGTTTAAGTATAATCAGATAGAAATATATATTTAATTTTCAAGTTTTCTAAGTAGATAGCTGTTTGACTTTGCTATAGCCCACAACTTTCTTTTTGTGGATGCGAAAGCTCAGACCGTGCCCTGAGCACCAACCTCAGGTTATAATTTACCTAGTTTGGGATGAGGCCCAGACAGCATTATTTTTCTAAGTCCTCTAGGTGATTCTAATATGCAGCCCAGGTTAGAAAGCCCTGCGTGGCCTTTGGAGGTGTAGGTAACACTGTTTTCTTGCCCACTGAGCCTTGCCCTGGCTCATAAGGTATCTAGAAAGAATTCCTCTTCCTTGACAGCTCCTGATTCTAAAATCACACTCTAGCCCCCTGTGCAGAGGTCCGTGCCCTGTAATGAAATGTTTATTCCTCTGTGTTAATGGAGGATAGACATTCTTCTGGCATTTTTGGACCAACTGCTCCCTACCATTCTTTTGAAAAAGAACAGGAAGAACGATGCTTTCTAATTCAGAAAAGGAAGATGTTTTCATTATTCTTATAAAGAATAGCCAAGCTCAGACCTTGCACAGATTTTGCTTTTTGTTGGAATTGCTGGAATAATCATCTTAGTGACAGAATTACAGAGGAATGTATTTATATTTAGCTTATTGGCACATGTGCAAACATATTTGCTCTTTCGATGAGCAAGTTCTTTCGTTATCATGAATATGTGTGTGTGTGTGTATATATATATCTCTCGCATTGGGCTTGATTCTTCCATATTCCAATGAAGGTGTAATTTTAACTCTATCGACTTGCAGTAAACAGAAATCATCCTTGTATGCTTCCTTCCTGCATCGTTCCCAGTGAATCACATGACCCCCAACTTTTATATCTTTGAAAATGTTCTAGAACTAGGGTCATCTCGCTTGGGAGGAAATGCTGGAAACTACCCACAACTCTATCCTCAATGACAAATGAAAACAGAGATCACAAGTCAGATGATTCAGGTCAAAGCCCTTTGATGTGTCTCTGGGACTGGCGACAGGATTTGCAGAGCCAAGGGCAAAATGAGAACACGGGGCCTGTCGTTCAGAAATTATTAAGAAATTCAAGATGGCAACAAAAGAGCATTAAACCAAGCACCGGGCCCTTCTGGCATGGGTCACTGCACGGTCACCAGCTCGTGAGGCTGGCACTGTGTGCATCTGAATAATGGCTTTGGTGCTCAGTTTTACATTTGGAACATTTCTGTATGAGCGCAAAGTGCCCAGATCAAAATGTTGCCTTTGTTCAAATTGAAATACCTCATCTGAATGGCTGGACATTAGGACTTAAAACACAGGCTCATTGCTTTGGCACTGGAACCATGGCCACTAAAAGTAAAACAAAGCGGGTATTTTAGACCTGGTCCCATAAGACTGCATTTGACTGGCTTTGGTGATACTTTGAAAGTAAGAGGAAGTAGAGACATGGTAGATAAAATATACCAATTCCTAGAGAGAACTCCTGAATTTAAAAAAAATTAACTTTATTAAATCTATCTTTTACAAAAGATTAATTATTTTTTCAAAGTGGTTAGATGTAGGAATGCACAGCTTAATTTGGAGGCTGTTAGTCCTATATAAATGGAAATTAATTATTTTTTGAAATAAGTCCAAGAAATAATTCAGAAAGTAAGTTTTTGGAGCAAATTCTGGCCTTTATTTGGTAAGCAATGCTCTATTTGCCATGATTATGAAATAAATTGTCAATTATATTTTACCATATGAAGAAAAGATAAAATAAATTTTGATTGTCAAAGGTTCTTTTGTCTTATTTTCTGTTTAATCCAACCTAATGATTCTGGCAGATAAACTTTTTTCCATTCTGGGTGCTTGTCTGCGTATTCTCGAAGACTCATTTTCAGGACATGCGCTGGGGCAGCAGACCTGTTCAGAAAGTGGAGACAGTCCAGTTCTCCCACTAGCCTTTGTATTTGAATTATAAATTGTTACACATAAACTTAAATGAAAAGAAAGAATCCGATATCTTGTGTTCTCTGTACACAACTTTTAAGGTCTAAAGGCTACCTAGTCCTAAAATTCAAATTCTTTCTTTTCAGAAACCTTCATTGAGTGCCCACTCCTACTAGACACTGTGCTAAGTACTGGGGATTAGAATCTGGAACAAGACAGACCCAGTCCCCACCCCTTAAAGAGTTTCTATTGGCTGGTGATAGCAGACACTTCATAATGGGGAATGTTGTGGGTTGAATTGTGTCCCCCCGAAAGACAAGTTGGAGTTCTAACCCCTGGTATCCATGAGTGTAATCTTATTCGGAAATAGGTTCTACAGATGCCATCAAGTTAAGATGAGGTTCTGATGGTGGGTCCCAATCCAATGTGACTGGTATACTTAATGGAAGAGAAGGCATGTGACAGAGGTAGAGATGATGATGATGCATCTACACACCAAGGAACACCTGGGGCCACCAGAAGTTGGAGTAGGAAAGGAAGAATCTTCCCCTAGAAGCTTCCCCTAGAATCTTCCCCTAGAAGCATGGTGAACACCTTGATTTCAGACTTCTAGCTTCCAGAACTTTGAGAAAATAAATTTCTATTTTTTTAAGCCACTCGGTTTGTGACACTTTGTTCTGGAATCCCTAGGAAACTAAGTCTGTCAATAATCAAAAGTTTTGTGGGTTTTTTGGGAGTGCTGAGTGGACCACCGAGTTTATGTAAGTAAACCTATTTGATATATTCTGTTGTTACCAAAAAGATTTAATTGCGTGCAAACTATGTAACAAAGTACTAATATTCTTAATCTATAAAAAGCTCTAATAATTCAATAAATAAAAGATAAATACCTCATCAAGAAATATTGAATTCACCCAAAAAATACGTGTGGCCAATAAGCACATGACAGCAAACCCCAAATCACTATCGATTAAACAAATGCAAATGAAAATAACTTAAGTTCCTTTTCACCATCAGATTAGCAAAGACTGGTAATGCCCAAAGTTAGTGATAATTTGAGAGAAAGAGCATTCTATCACACTGTTGAAAGCAAAGCAAGTTGGTAAATTCAAGCATGGCATTTTGTCAAGTTTTATCAAAATTTACAAAGCATCTATTCTCTGACCCAGCAAATCTACATCCCAGAATTTATCCTGCAGAAATTATTGGACGAATTTGTAAAGACTTATGGACGAAAACAGTTACCAGCGTTCTTTGTAATAACCAAAAATTGGAAACAGCCTAAAAGTCTCTCAATAGGGGACTGGTTAATTAAATCATGTCCACATAATGGACTGCAAGCGAAGTCCTGGAAAAGATAAGACAGCTCAAAATGTACTGACAATCATGCAGCTCCACGAGCTATTGAGGAGAACAAGGTGGTTACGGGACAGCATTACATTACAGTTATACTCAAGGGAAAACGGAGGTTGGCACACGCATTAAAAAGCTGGGAGGAGATATTCGCATCAGACTGTTAATAGTGATTTTATTTACCTTGCGTTTATCTTTTCTCCCTGGTTTTGGGGAACTTGACATTCTGTTATTTTAATTTCGTAACAAGGGGAAAAAAAATAAATCTTTTCATTTTGGAGAAAAAATGCAGTCTGCGTGATAATCGTATCCTTTAGCTTCCCTCAAGCCTCATTAAAAGCTCAGAAAATTTTGTTTGTCAAAGGGAAAATAATCATGTGAAGTCAATAATTATCAAGCACTGGCATCGATGCTGTTGTTGGAACTTCTTGGCATAAAAAGGCCTGTGTCACAGCTTCCCCCTTTACCCGACCCTGCCTGACTGTCATCTGTTACATGCGAAGGCTGGCCTGATCTATCCCCTAAAATGACAATGCTTTGGGAGAAGGGGGTCCCTTCTGGGGATGCAGCCTGTTCCATCAGTAAGGGATGCCTTGCCCGGCCCAGGCCTTCTCAGCTCTGCAAACCTCCGTGCGGCTGTGCTGAGCTCTCTAACTTATGGTGAAGGTCCCCCTTGGAGGTGCAAACTGCCTCCTTTCCACTTCTCATGCCTGTCCGATTGTCTTCTAAGCATTCACTCATTAGATTGAATCTCCCTGTCTGCAGCTTTGGTAAGAATCTTCGCTCCTGGAGCTGGGCTCCGAGTCTGGGTTCATAACGCACTTCTCCACCTGCCTTGGAGGCTGGAATGGGGACAGGGACATACCAAGGAATGTAGACTCCATCGGCAGCACCTGGGCAGCACGTCTCTGGATCTCACAGCAGATGGACAGTCGTCTGAGAAGTTTTATACCCAGAGAATCAAACTCAGAATTCTTTTGATTCCACTTATGAGTTAAAATGGGTCCCCACTATCTACAGAGTTGCCCCCATCATTACACCCACCGTTTCCAGCCGTGTGCAAGGTTTGTGGCTGACGCGCACCTCCCATCCCTGGATGTGCCATACTGGTCCCTAGCACCTGCTACCCTGCACCTTTCCTTTGCATCATCACCAAGCACCTGTGCTACAAAACGACCAGCCTGTGACTACAGAGGGTTTCCACGTGGGCGATCCTGTGGACACAAACCACTGCCAACTCCCTGCTCTGTCCTGGGCTCTGCTCTCTCCAACCCGTGGTTCTGGAAACCAGAGACGACAATTCCTCATCTTGGAAGCAACTCCTTGCTTAGGCAATAATTGCACATAATGGTACAGCATATTTGGCAGGCTTGCAAAGGGTAAATGGTTTGACTCCTTTAATCTACGGAGATTTAAAAGTCTGAGACTTGAGAGATCCTGGCGGAAATGCAGAGTAAGCGTACGTGGTTGTAAGTGCAACGTGGACCAGAAGCCAGTGACTTGGGCATAATTCGTTTTAGAGTCTGAGCTAGATGCTGTAGGAGCAGTTTAGAGTAGGTGAGGCAGGAAAGAAAGTAAAGTGGCTTTGGCATTAGATTATCCCAAATTCAAGTATTAACTGTCACTTGAAAATGTTGTCCGATCTCTCTGAGCTCAGCTCTCTCCTCTGTAAACTGGAAAGGCAGTAGGACCTCATTTACAGAATTGCTGTGCAGAGTAAATGAAATAATGGAAGTGAAGCATTAAGGAGAATGTCTGGCCTGGAGTTACTGCTCAATAAATGAAAGCTGTCATTCCTGTGTTCCTTTCCAAGGAAAGCTGAAGAAATCTCAAGAAATCAAAACAAAGTTCAATAGCATCATCAATAGTGTGACTTTTAGGAGTACTTTAAGTGATGGAGATCTTAATAACTTTCTAAGTATGGTGTCTTCCCAGTAGGACTTCAAAGGAGAAAGAATTTCCATTCCATGTCAATATCAGACACCAAGGAAATCTTCTAACTAGCATCATTCTCTGATGAGTTATTCTGATCAGTGCAAATTCGTCCTTGGGTTCCAGGCCTCAGGAAAGTTAGAGGAACTAGAATCAATTGACAAAGCTACTCACTCCATTTACTTTTTTCCATTGGCATTATTAAAGATTAGTTTACATAAAGTAAAATTCATGAATTAAATGTATAATTTGATGAGTTCTGACAAATGTGTACACCCATGTATCTACCGCCACAGTCAAGATATAGAGCAGTTCCATCACTTGAAAAGTTCTCTCCTGCGTCTTTGCAGTCAACTCCCTCCCACCTCTCCACTGAAATGCTCTCTGTCACTATAGATTTTTGTCTGTTCTAGAATTTCGTATAAATGGAATCAACAATCTATGGTCTTTTGTGCCTGGCTTCTTGCACGTAGCATAATGCTTTCGAGCTTCATCTATGTCGTCTAAATAAAATATAATTTAGGAAGGCTCACTTTCTGGAAAGATTTGCTGCAGTTTACTCTAGAGCCAAATGCCAACTTTCATTGTTAATTTTCTGCCATCTATGACGATCAAGCCGATGGCTCCCGCTCCATCTTAGATTCCTGAGAGAGACTCATTATTGCTCTTACTTGTTGCTGTTTGTAGAAGAAAGGAGGTGATAAGCAGCCTTCATTTCAGAGGCTTCATTTCCTGTTTTTGAAACAGTGTAAGGATAGAGCGTAATATTCTCCACTATTGCCCAGGGGCAAACAGCTGGCAGTGCCAGCAGAGAGAAAAGCACAGGCACACCTGACGTCAGCGGAGAGCCCTGGAAAGGGGAGTTTCTGGAACAGCATTCCTCAGACTTCAACGTGCACACAAATCACTAAGGATGCAGATTCCGATTCCATAGGTCTGGGAGGGGCCAGCGATCCTGGATTTCCGACAAGCTCTCAGGTGAGGCCAATGCACTGGTCCCCACCCACACTGCGTAGCAAGGCTCCATAGGACATGGAGGTAGATTCTGTGGGTAGGGCAAGGTCACCCCAACAAGAAGGCTGAAAATGTGTCCCAGTCTGTGCTTGAGAAATACTGCTCAGAGACATGAATTCTCATCAGTACATATACATACATCATCAATCATCTCTCTTTTTTCAAATGGTGTCTCAATTTTCTCATCGGTAAAATGGGAATTATACTGTCTATCTCCATGGCAGGTAGAACTCTAATACAATCCCCAGTGATCTCTGACTCCTGGTGTTCATGTCTTGGGGTGATTCCCTCCTCTTGAGTGTGAACTGAGTCTGGCAACTTGCTTCCAATAAACAAAATACAGCAAAGGTGATGCAATGTCACTTCCAAGACCAGGTTAGAAAAGCCTGTGACTTTCCTCTTACCAGCATTCTCCAGCTCTCTCTCTCTCTTAGCTGCTCCCCTTGAGGAAGCCACCTGCCACGTGGTGAGCTGCTCTGTGGAGAGATCTGTGGGGCAAGGAACCCAAAGAGGACTCCAGCCAACAGAGCGTGAGGAATCGAATTCTGCC